TGTGACTAGCGACCAGCCTGGTACTACAGACCACTGTGACTAGCGACCAGCCTGGTACTACAGACCACTGTGACTAGCGACCAGCCTGGTACACAGACCACTGTGACTAGCGACCAGCCTGGTACTACAGACCACTGTGACTAAAGACCACCGTGACTAGCGACCAGCCTGGTACTACAGTAAAACCTGTAACTAAAGACCACCGTGACTAGCGACCAGCCTGGTACTACAGTAAAACCTGTAACTAAAGACCACCGTGACTAGCGACCAGCCTGGTACTACAGTAAAACCTGTAACTAAAGACCACCGTGACTAGCGACCAGCCTGGTACTACAGTAAAACCTGTAACTAAAGACCACCGTGACTAGCGACCAGCCTGGTACTACAGTAAAACCTGTTACTAAAGACCACCGTGACTAGCGACCAGCCTGGTACTACAGTAAAACCTGTAACTAAAGACCACCGTGACTAGCGACCAGCCTGGTACTACAGTAAAACCTGTAATTAAGACCACCGTGACTAGCGACCAGCCTGGTACTACAGTAAAACCTGTAACTAAAGACCACCGTGACTAGCGACCAGCCTGGTACTACAGACCACTGTGACTAGCGACCAGCCTGGTACTACAGACCACTGTGACTAAAGACCACCGTGACTAGCGACCAGCCTGGTACTACAGTAAAACCTGTAACTAAAGACCACCGTGACTAGCGACCAGCCTGGTACTACAGTAAAACCTGTAACTAAAGACCACCGTGACTAGCGACCAGCCTGGTACTACAGTAAAACCTGTAACTAAAGACCACTGTGACTAGCGACCAGCCTGGTACTACAGTAAAACCTGTAACTAAAGACCACCGTGACTAGCGACCAGCCTGGTACTACAGTAAAACCTGTAACTAAAGACCACCGTGACTAGCGACCAGCCTGGTACTACAGACCACTGTGACTAGCAACCAGCCTGGTACTACAGACCACTCCGCCAGGCACGCTTGGTCTCACACTTATATAATTATGGTTATGCGGTACAAACCTCTAACTAAGGACCACCTGCCACTAAAGACCGCTTTCTCTGGCCCCAAGGGGTGGTGGTTAGTCACAGGTTTTACTGTATGTCGCTATATCCTGGCACACAACCGTCCCTTTTACATCCACTATTCAGGCAAAATATCTACCGCTTGGAGTAAATTTTGATCGTACACTGCCGCTGGATACTTTTATTCACGTTGCGTGTTAATGGCTTTCCCCTGGGCAGGTACCAGGCTTTCGGCACGCGACGACAAGGAGAACCTGCTTCACATCTGCGGCGAGTACGGTTTTCTCAACCTGGCCAATCACATCCTGGACTCGCCGGCACTGTTTCCCAGCCTGAGCAGTGATCTTAACGCCTGCAACAAGAGAGGACGCAATCCGGCCGAGGTGGCGCTAGAGTTTGACGATTTGGAGTTGTACGAGCTGTTTGTTGCTCATGGGGTGAGTAGAAATTCAGTGAAGAAAATTTATAGACATGGTGCATTGAAAACAAGATTTGGCCCAACAAATGTTCTCAAACGGTGACACGAAAATGGACGTAGAACCAATTTGAAGTGGGGACTTTGAAGCCCTGTTTGGCCCAAATTCACTCAAAGCGATGACCCCAAGATGGAATGTAGAACCAATTTGAAGGGGGGGGGGGGGGGCTTTGAAAACCCGGCATGGCCGGCCCAAATTTACTCCAAACAATGACACATATAATGGTATATACAGTCCTACTCAATAAAATCCAGTCACGTCACTCAAGTTTGCGGCTTGCACAGCCCAGTGTTTGCAGAGCTCGGGCTGTGCAACGCCCGGTGCGTGTTTGAGGGACGCGACTGGATTTCATTGAGCAGCACAGTGTAGAACCAATTTGAAGCACTTACAATACTTTTGATTGTGTTACATTGATCGTTGCGTACCAAGAGAGCACGCCTCAAAAACCAAGTAAAATACTATGTTATCTTGTTCCCATGGGGTATGTCCACTTTGTATCTATATTTGGATCAAACGAAGGGACAACATGTTACGAGCTAATGACTAAATGTCCTTCAACGTAACCAGATCTTAATACAGTCAGCGTGTGTGACAAAAAGGCACAAGCAGACAAGGAGAATTGAGACATTCGACGACCTGACACCTAGCTCATAGCTCTAGTATCTATAATTTTATCAATTTATTTCTATTTTTACGTTTGTCTGTATCTTGTCGTAGTCCACACCTGCTAGCGGTGAAGCTAGCAACAGTGAGCGCCGCAACACAGCAGCGCCACCCGCACCTCTGAGCAAGAAGGCCAGCTCTATGACTCCAAATGCGCTCTTCCGTCAGCTGGGCAACCGGATTCGTACCAGCTCAGTAAGTGTGCCCAGCTAGATCGACGATTCAGGCATCTTCGAGGACGTACTAACATATCTTCCAGACTATGAGCCACACTCTAAACCCTAAACACTGGCAATTCACACAAACAGGATCAGTATGGCTTATGTTACGATGAATGGTGATATATCTAGGGTATATGTCAATATTCTCACAATTGTGTGACTACAAAGTCTGGGTGCTGCTTATACTCCGTGAAATGAAGTATTTTTAAATATTGGCGGTTTCAGTCTATCTGGAGGAACTGCATGAAATACTCAGAAATCTCACATGTGTGGGTGTGTGTGTGTGTGTGTGTGTGTGTGTGTGTGTGTGCTTGCGTGCGTGGGTGCGTGCGTGGGTGTAACCCAAGCATTACTAGCACTTGGCTATTACTCTTGTTCATATTCACTTTTCTGGCTGCAATGATCATCGTTTCATTACTGCCTGGTTGGACTGCTTGTGTCTGCGCTGCGCTAATGATGTCAACCGGCATGGATAAAACAGCAGTGTGCGCAGATAGAAAGAAGACCCGTACCCAAGTCTGGTGATCCCGCGCTGCAGAGAGTGTTCGGTGTCGGAGACAGAGCTTACTTAGAACATAGCAGACTCAGTGGATGACGTTCAGGTTCGTCGGAACTCCGATTTTCATGTCGCGAGTTCTGAACGTTCTCTGCTGAGCCTGCTATGTAGAATAACGTTTCCTATGATTATGCTTTAAAGGGGTCTCCCGTGCAGGCGGCTGACAACTGGAGACATGTACAGACCATTGAGTCAGAGAGACAAGTACTTCTGTTCAATGCCAAAAAGTGGTCTTGTAGCAGTTTGAGTAGAGTTTCATTTTTGATCTCATAAACACACACTGTGTTTTCATGTGTTCTCTTGCCCTCTATTACAGACAGCAGAGGACTCGCGTAAGTTGTTGCATGTTGCACTGTATACTCTATCAGACCTCACTGCAACAGTCTGATGCATTCCAGGAAAAAAAAGCTATTTCACCTCCAACCCCCACATTTTAGAACATTCCATGGAAAGTTGTGATATTTTTCTGGCACCGAGTGGACTAATACATGACGGTGTGTATGTCTCTTTGGCGGCATTTATTTTAACACTAAAGTTCAACTTCCTTACAGTCTCCCAGCATTGAAGGAAATTCAACTCATGTTTTGTAAAGTTGAACTGCGGTTTTTAGTGCCTCGGTCCAATCAGGGTAGACTTGCCAGGTGTAGTGTGCAGGCCGCCTGACAGGGGAGATCACGGCATATGTTTTGTTCTTCCATGATGTTGTCCCTGCAATGCTCATTGTGTAGCGCATGTGTTAGCCCCCTCCCCCCCCCCCCCACCCCACGGATTCACACCCAGGTGTACCAAGGGAGCAACTTTCTCCAGCATGCGTGTGTGTGCACCCCCTTGCATACCAGCATCCCAAACGGATCAAACTCCTTTCCTCTTGGATAGAGTATTGCTGGTTCTGGGGCCCACATTTCTATAATATATTTTGCCTGGATGATTTCTATACGCTGAACTCAATCTCACGACAGAGACATGTACTGATGTAGGTGTTCCTACCTTTTTGGTTCATCAATGGAGAGTGATCTTATCATCATACGTTATCGAGTGTTTGTGAGTTCAGGGCACTTCTAGACCATCTGCTTTAAATTTCTTTGAAACGGATATGCAAATTGTGCCAGCATTGAGCCAGTGGAATATGTCTTCGGATGCATAGCCAATTTTGTTCCTGGAGACTTTTCTGCTGTGATATGGAGGTGATTTCCCAGTACTGGAGTGTTATTTGTGTGTTTGTGTGTTTGTGTGTTTGTGTGTGTGTGTGTGTGTGTGTGTGTGTGTGTGTGTGTGTGTGTGTGTGTGTGTGTGTATGTATGTATGTATGTGTATGTATGTATGTATGTATGTATGTATGTATGTATGTATGTATGTGTACACATACATGTGTTTACGTGTGATTATACATGTATGTTATATGTATGTGTGTATGCGTGTGTGTGTGTTTCAGGTACTTCTAATTCCCCTACCACTAAGCGTGCTGGATCGTATATCGACGTACAGTTGAGCCCCGGGCAGTCAAATTCCCTGGGCAGGTCTGGCTCAATCCTCTCCGCACTATCGGCAGTACAGGACAGCACAGGTGCAACAGATGAGCAGGTATGTGCAATAGTTATGATTTGAAATGAATCAGCGCATTGCGATTTGCAAGAGGACCTGTCCATTCAGAGTCGATTCATGACTCTCTATTCAGAAACTCATTCGTAGCATGTCGCATTTAGCAGTACTTTCAACTGCCACGGGCATGTACTGCGAAGTGTCCGGAAGTGTCTTATAGAAGTGTACCGTAAGTCGACAAATGTTCGGCCCATTCAAAATTCCCCCCCCCCCCCCCCAGTGCTAAAACCCATTTTGGCGGCATTACATCTTCGGCCTGCACTGCTGCTGCTTGTATACACTTTCACACTGTACCTTGCAGAACAAAATGTGAGAGTGCGACCTATAATCAAGTGCGCCTTATGATCGGGGAATACGGTATCATGTGACCAATTGCGCGCGTCAACTGTTTGACTTGTTCTTGTGTTCTTGTCGTTCATCTGCTGTCGTGGGAACTGCTCCGCTCCCAGGATGGAGACGACGGTCCCAATGTAAGTATTGTCTTAAAGTAATCATTGAAATTCAGTGTCCTAAAGTAGTAAGTGTGTTGGCACCCTACTTCAGTTCTGTGAGCTGGGACTCATTGCTTCAACTGTACATGTATAGTTACTGGTGTTGTCATGTAGCTCACACGTCCACTTCCTGTTCTCATGTACACCTCACAGCCGACAAGAGATCATAATTTCAGCTGATTTTGTTTTCCTTTAAAAGGCAATTTTGCTTTGACGTAAATAGAAAGACAATTAGTCCGCTCCCGCTCTTTAAAGCCAAGTTGTTCTCTCTTATGTGTGAATGTGTGCGCATGAATTCGTGCGGTTTCAGACCGACGATGGTGGAGCATCACCGGCAACGGTAGGTACCGATTTTCAGCGCACGTGTTTGTTTCTTTGTAGATGCTCTCCCATTCTCTCACGGGAGTAATAGCACGTTTGTACAGAAATTTGTCTTGGAATCCTTGCGTACCAAGTGTTCAGCTGGGGGGGGGGGGGGGGGTTTAACAGTAGCGATGTGCCTTAATGTGTACTAAAGCTGGGCTTATTCTAGTAGAAGCCGATCAAGGCACTAGGCTTCTGCTATGGCTATTATGGCTTTATGGCATTCAAAACAGGTATTTCTGTGTTTGTGAACACGAATCCAGGCAGTAACAGTGTGTCTTGAACATCAGGCTTGTACTCAAAACAGGGTTCAATGAGACAGGCTATTAATCCACGACACTACGGCATTAGTGTCCGGAAGTTCTTTAAGGACGGCAAAGCAGCCTGGCCCCACCGCCACTTCTCGTGCCTATCCTGGAATATAGTGGACTTTCGTACAAAAAAGAAGAAGAAAGTTCACAGCACATTGCATGCTATTTTACCATTTTGCAACAAGGTTATTGTTCCTGTTCTGGTCTTCTGTCCATCATGACTGAGACATCATGACTGAAACATCATGACTGAGACATCATGACTGAGACATCATGACTGAGACATCATGACTGAGACATCATGACTGAGACATCATGACTGAGACATCATGACTGAGACATCATGACTGAGACATCATGACTGAGACATCATGACTGAGACATCATTAATGACACGGTGTTCAAGCAGCCTTGTGTCTTCCTGATCTGTTTGCTTTTGTAGAAGAGAAAGGTGAAGACGCTTGGAATCAATCCGTTCCGGAAGAATCGAGGAAAGGCTAAGGAGGTAAGTGCATCACATACAGACGTCACGTTGAACACCCTACTGTCACTACGATATTGGCCGTTCCGCTCTTCGTCCCGTTTACCCTGTGAATCAATTAGATGTACGGATCTGGGTCTAAATTTCGAAAATTTTTCATAGGAGCCACCCAAACCCCAAGAGTAAATTGTACTTCATTTGGCTGGCCGTGCCAACCTGAAATACATTCCGACATAATTGTGTTGTACTTGCAACACCACCCGCATTGCCCAACTGATATATTACAGTCTTGCCAAGAAGATGGTCTCAGAGGACAGGGTTACCATGCTTGTTGAACACTTTCGATGCGAGGCTGAGCAATTTTACAGCCCAGACAGTTGCAGTTGAAACTCGTTTTCCGACCAACTCACTACTCCATACTAATCTGACCGATTTTGCTTGGTCACGAATTATCCTATGTATACGCGTGCATACAAGATGGTCATTTTCAAGAACCAGACCAGAAAGAGCGGTCGGAATTCAGAGAATCCACTGTGCTAAGAAAGCGTTCGTCACCTTAACAGATTTGAATATATAAGCCCCCAATTAGATGTGTTCACGCCAAGTGCTCAGGAAATATGGGAGAGCATGTGTCAACAAAAGCGCAAAGGAGGCTAACAGAGTTTTGTCGCAACTCAGAGTTTCTTAACTCGGAGCTGCGACAACACTCTGTTAGCCTCCTTTGTGCTGTTTGTGTGTAATACTGTAAAAGCCATTATTCTAACGAGGCGCATGTAATAACGATTTCCCAAAATCGACTAGTTTACGTGTACCAACGGTAACGATTCTCACTCATTGTCAACGCTCAACAGCACAGTATATGTATCGATTTCTGTATAACGATTTATATTTTAACAACAGATTTCTCCTTGTTAACTCGTTAGAGTGCGCACTTTGTTACATATATGGCGTTTACAGTATTGCTCCACGTTATTGTGTTGAGCCCTCTCCACTGGCAGACGGAAGTGTTTCTCCTTGGAGAACATGTGTAGTGATGTGTATGTGTGAGTGCGTGTGTGTGTGTGTGCGTGCGTACGTGCGTGCATGCGTGCATGCGTGTGATTTTGTGTTTGTGTGTGCATTTATGTGAATGCGTGGTTGCATGTGTCTATTTATTATGTGTGTGTGTGTGTGTGTGTGTGTGTGTGTGTGTGTGTGTGTGTGTGTGTGTGTGTGTGTGTGTGTGTGTGTGTGCGTGTATGTGTGTTCTGAACAGTCAAGCTAATTCCCTTCTTGTTTGCTTCCATACTCCAGAGCAAATCCGTTGAATTGCCTATCCAAGACCAAATTGCATCGACGTCCCACACTGATGCCCGTAAGCCAACATATACACTGGAGCTCATCCCCCCTCCCCCCCCCCCCACACACTTCTCCTTCCGGCTTGGAAATCTATCTGTTACCTGTGTGTCGCCAATCTAACCTGATTTGTCTTGACATGAAATGGTCACTTATAGCTGACCGACTGAACTTACTGCACAGCATCTCCTTGCATGCTAATGGCTTGCATGACATGTACACCACACTATTATCGACAGTCAACTTTGATTATAACGACACTTGGCGGGGCATCAGAAACGTGTCCTTATTTGCGAAGTCTCATGATAACAGTTATGTGCGCAGTTAGATGGGACTTTGCTCTGGGCATGGAAATTCTGGCGTTATTCGCGAATTGTCGTTATATCCGCAGTCGTTATTAGCGAAGTTTTCTGTATGTATTTAATCCCTTCCTATGATCACATGGGATTTTCGGTCTTTGACCACTTGCTGGTGAGCCTATCTACTCACCTCCCACCGCTTTAGGAGCTGCATCTGCGCCTTGATCCTTGAAGGGTGGTGGCGTTCCTACGGATGCGGAAAGCCCGGCTTCCAGCCGAATCTCACGCGAACCGTGAATTTATTATTATTTTTATGATCACAGTTCATTTGAAATTGTTCATCAGATGGAACTGGGCTTTCAAGCAAGGATGTTGCAATTTCTGCCCAAAGTTGACAATATCCTTCGTTGTACTACTGCCCCTCATGTGAGAATGCCACTAGATGGTAAAAAATGTTTTCCTGCAAAATCCTGCCACATCCGTGAGGGTTGAATGGTGTGGGATGCCACCCCTAAAGTTACTCTTGTCCAAAAGACTTTCCTTTTATCTATTGTTGCAGCTTCAGCAACGACACCACTATCTCCCACAACGTCACTGCAGCAAGATCAACTGTGGACGTTGATGCAGAAAGTTGAGGGCTATGCCAGGGTCAAGTTACCTTATGAGCCATCTGCATTTGACGAAGGCAAACTGCGCATGCAGGTAATTCCAGGAATATTGCAGTTTTTTTCTTTTTTCTTTTATGGGAGAAAATGGGTGCTGGAGAGGAGTTACTGCTAGCCGCTATTGTGTGCTGACTTTTATGAATGTGACGACAGCAAAAAAATTGTCTGTCAACATTGTAAGCCATGTGATGTCATTGTAGACGGTGTGATGTCATGTCGGCTAGGCAATGTCATTGCATATGGTGGGAAGTTTTTGCTGACTCGACAGTATCATTGTTTACTGTATGGTATCGCTTTGCACTCAAGACTGTCGTTGCGGGAAGTCTGATGCTACCACTAAACAAGCAGCATTCATACTAGCAGTGGGGGAATATTGACGACGTGGTACTTTGAAGTGCTATGCCATTTCGTTTCGAAGATCCGTAAATCTGGCTGGCCCCTGCTTCAGCCTGCAATGCTGAATGCTATGCACTACTTGTCCCTGATGAGTGTCACCTGCTTGCCCCAGAAAATCCGAAGTTGTACTCACGGTTGTATTTTGTGTGTGTGTGTGTGGGGGGGGGGGGGGGGTGGGTGGGTGTGCGTGTGTGTGCGTATATGCGTGCACGCGTGTGTCCATGTTGCTTTCAAGATTGGTGACGTTCTGTACATCACTGAGCGAGATGACTCCGGCATCTGGTCTGGCATTCTGAACAAGAAACAGTACGGGGCTTGTCTATACTTGTTGCAAAGATGACTAGCATTCAAGTTGTAAAGGGCATGCATGACAGGTGCAGGGTTGAAGGCTTTTTACTTCCTCATCGAAGGCAAAAGATTGGTTGCGTCCACTTATATAATATTTTCCGGAGCTGCGCAAAGATGTTTGCTACAAATTCAGACAGCAATCCTGTGTCTTACATTCCTTTGACTATCTGGCGGGACACTAAAAACCCGTAACTAAAGACCACCGTGACTAGAGACCAGCCTGGTGTACTGCAGACCACTTCACCAGGCACGGACGGTCTGACACTCACATTATGGTTGCGGTTCAAACCTTTAACTAAGGACCACCTGACACTAAAGACCGCTTCCCGTGGCCCCAAGGGGTGGTCGTTGGTCACAGGTTTTACTGTATAAGCCACACCGACATTGTTTTGGTGAATTATGAGTGTTCAAGTGCGGCTTAGACTCCAGAACAATACGTTACTTATCTCATCTAGGTTCATTAACTGCAGCTTGTTTATTCCAACTGTAGGTTTGGCAAGTTTCCAATGGTGTACGTGGCGGAGATCTCGCAGCAAGAGGCGGAGCAGTTGCTGTCCGACAGTGGCAGTACGGCATCAGGAGACTCGGATGCCAAGCCTGGCAACCGATTGTCAGGTTCCATACTGGCTCAGCAACCCAGGCCACCGGCCGCTAGACCAAGTAAGACATGCACACATATCTCTCTGTTCCGGGCGGTCTGGGATCGGGCACCGCCGATAACTTTGAAATGTCCGTAACTCCGAATAACATCCGTTTTGATGGGGAAGGGCCAGATAAATGGCATTATGACGTCACTATTTTGACTGAATTGCCTGATTAATTGCACTATTTGCACTAAAACCCACCCATATGGTGCCTGGTAGACCGAGGTGGCCGTAAATTCGAGGTCCAGATAGGAGAGCGAATATCACTCAACGAGCGATTTTATTCTACTACTACAATGGTGTCGGAACCGCACCGGCCGGGGCGGCCATTGCCGCCCCACTTTTTCGGCTTTTTTTGAGCACACTGCAACAAAGCGCGATGATCTCAGCGCAAACGTGGCAAATCCTTGTCCCCGATCGTGGTTTGTTGCAGAATCAAAAAGTCCATGTACACTGAAATGGCACCAAATGCCTGGGAAAGCTTGCAATTGGTTTCAATTTTTGAATATTTTTCCCGCGGGAGGGTAATGTTTGTCCCCGATCGTAGCATCTTCTTGGGTTTTTTCAGAATCAAAAAGTCTTTCATTGCAGTTACCGTACACTGAAATGGCACCGAATGCCCGGAAGTGCTTGCAATTGGCTTCAATTTTTGAAATTTTTGAAATTTTTCCCGGGGGAGGACCCCCCACCCCCCCCCCCCCCATGGCCGCCCCACCTCCAAAGTCGGTGCGACGCGCCTGTACTACAAGTACTGCACAAGGAAGTGGACATGTAGGAACACACACAACACAAAGCGCTCAGACTCCGTCAGTCACAGTGGAGTGTACCATGGTCTACCTCGCGTAGTCTAGTCGTTATCTGCAACACAGTGTAATAGGTGTATGTATGCTACGACCTGAATACTCACTATTTGTATTTCCCGCTCGTTCCCCTTGGCAATGAGCACTCACATAGAAGAGCGCATGCTCCAGTTCTGTTCTAGTCTAGTCCGTCTTGAGTTGTCGTTGTCCTGTTCTCCTTCTGTTTACACCCTTATCGAATACTTCTATAAATTATCCAATCATATAAAACCCCTGTGTTCCGGTGTGAGGGGGCATCATTAGCCGGCAGCAGCTAACACTGGTGGCAGCGGAAAACGTCCACCACTACATTGCTGGCGGAGTATGTACGCCTTCGGAGATCGCCGACTATGAAGAACCACGAAGGCCCACGCAAGTGAAACCATATCCTCATCCACTCTCTTCGTCATTATTTTCCTTTCTGCATTGTGTTTCTTTCTGCTCGTCGTTTTCTTGTTGCATGCATTGTTTACCATGGTTTACAGGCATAGGTCAAGCATTGGCGCCAACCTGTCTGGCCAAACATTTTCGGAACATTTTCTGTGTCCGTGTTTTGTGCATACTGTCTGCTGTCTAGTGTCTTGTTAGGATATCTGCTAGCTGGGTAGTAGAGTCTAGCTACACTGTGTCCGTAGAGTAGTTGCCTATTTGGAATTGTCTCTGCCAAATTTAGTTGTTTGCCGCTACGCACGATAGGTTACGTAATAGATTTAGAATTAGATCGATAGTTGATCGAGGCGTCGATCGAGTCCACGGGAAATTTTTGCAGATAAATCTTTTTTCGAAAATTCAAAAATACAAAAACAATTTTTTTTCACAATGGGCCGTTCAGCGAAATCCAAGAGACAAGAAAAGCTAGAGCGTAGCTTCGCTGAAGCTGGCTGTGACATGAATGCTGAAGAGCGCGAGAGTTCGCCGGTACAAGGGTTGTCCCATCGTTTTCGTTTGCCGGACACAGACACACCACATGCACGTCCACTGCCGAAGCCAGTCTTGCTTCCTGAGACATTCGGAAATCAGCCAGGCCAAGATTTCACCACGTACATGAGGCATTTCGTCCACACATGCGAGCTGAGTGGGTACGACGACGACCAAAAGCTACGGCTACTACCTGCTCGCCTTGTTGGTACCGCTCATGAGATGTTCACCGAAATTCTAACTCACACGCCTGACATGAACTTTTCCGACACAGTCGAGGCTCTGCATGTCCGTCTTGAGCCGCCCCAGCAAGCATTGATGCACGAGGCCAGTCTTCGCCAGCGAGTGAAGCTGGCGAGTGAAACTCAGCACGGGTATGCCACGGAACTTCGTCGGCTCGCTCGTCGAGCCTACCCAGGACAACAAGGTGCACTGCTTGATTCAATGCTTTTGCAACTTTTTATTGATGGCCAGGCATCGAAGGATTTGCGCTTGGCGTTGGCGTCACCTCGGCCCACTGATTTGGATGCGGCGGTCCAAAAGGCCATCGAGGTAGGTGCTATTTATGCTCGCGAGCAGGCCCGCACCGTACCTCACCAGTACGCACAGCCCGTATTTGCTGCTGCTCCGGAAGTGAAGCCCCGTCATGGTCGTGACCCCTACACAGCAGTCGGTCCACTGAAATCGGAATCTGAGCGAGACCAGTTGGCTTCGCTTTTGTCGAGATTTGATTCGCGTCTCTCTGCTTTGGAGGCGAAAATGGAGAGCGTGAGTCTGTATCGCCCCACCCGACCCCAGCAAGACCATGTACGTTTTGTTGCTCGTGGTGCTGGTGCTGGTGCTGGTGCGCCTAGTCGTGGTCGTGGCCAGAGTTTTGCGAGGCCTGTCCGTGGAGTGTGCCATGGATGTGGTGAAGAGGGCCACTTCATTGCATCTTGCCCGCACCCAAAAAACTAGGTTGGACTGGTGACACGGGGCCGCCGTCAGTCGTCCGAGTGGAGCCCCTCGAGGAGGTATGTGGTGCGATCTCACCCATTATTGTGCACGTTGATGTTTGTCTTTCGTCTTCGTCTTCGTCTTCTGTTGTTGCTCTTGTTGATTCTGGTTCAAGTGTGTCGTTAGTGCATTCTAAATTGTTGCCTAATTTGACAGAGCGACCTCCTCTAGAGTCTGCTCCGCGGTTGTGTGCAGTCAATGGCGCACAACTTCCTGTCGTTGGATCCATGGATCTGTGTATGTCGCTAGGAAATCTGTCTTTCCAGCACACGGTTGTTGTCTCTCCTGGTATTCACTGCGACATTTTTTCTTGGTTCCGATTTTTTGTTGCAGCATGGTGGTGTATTAGACATTGCTCGTGGTGTTGTGATGTTTGGCGATGTGTCTGTTCCGTTGCATGTTTCTGGTTCTGGGTGTCCTCCGTCACGTATGCCCTATGATCGTATTGTTCCGCGTAATACTTCCCCCTCATGTAATACTCATACTCCTCATTCTGATGCATGCTCCGACGATGTACCTGTTTCGTCGTATTCTTCTCGTGTTGCCCTTGACGATTCATTGTCTGCACGGGTTGTTGAACCCATGGCTCAACCTGGCGTTGTCCCGGCGTGTGCGCCCGAGAGTGTGGCTGACCCTGTGGTATACTCATCTCGTGTGGTGTTTGAGATGGAGTTGTCGGTACCTGCAGGACATGTTGTCTTGGTGCCTTGTGCAGCTGTTGATGTGTGCACGGTTGCGATGGATTGCGTGGCAGATCCATTGGAGTCCTTTATGGCGAAGCATCCAGATGTGGCAGTGACTCCTAGTCTTGTAACTGTTGGCCCTAACCAAACACGTGTGGTTGTGGCTGTTGAAAATCATGCAAATCATCCTATACTCATTCATAAAAATACCAATGTTGCCGAACTTCATCAAATTCCTACAGATTGTGAACATATTGACGACACTGAAGCTATGGTTTCCTCAGTTTCACCCGACCCGATCCCGCTAACTGAGCAACGCAAGAAAGTCATCGATGAATATATCAACGCACAAAATCATCTCTCCACAGAACAGTCTCGCACGCTCACTGAACTACTTCATGATAACCACGATTTATTTATCTTGCATGATGATGACTATGGCTACTGTGACATATTCCCTCATAAAATTAACACAGGACAAAATAACCCTATAAAACAACCTACCCGGCGGATTCCATATCACCGCCGGAAGGCTCTGCAAGATCTACTGAATACGCTGTTAAAGCAAGGCATAATACAAGAATCGATTAGTCCGTGGGCATCACCCATAGTATTGGTGCCAAAGAAGGATGGCTCTCTTCGACTCTGTATCGACTACAGGAAGTTGAACTCTGTCACCGAGCCTGATGCTTACCCGATTCCCCGGGCGGATGACATGCTTGATTCCCTGTCTGGCTGTCGGTATTTCACGTCCCTTGACTTAGCGTCAGGGTACTGGCAAATAGCAATGGAAGGAAGCGACAAGGCTAAGACGGCATTTACCACGCCACTGGGCTTGTTTGAGTTTAATGTTCTGCCGATGGGCTGCAGGAATGGCCCAGCGACATTTCAGCGCGTAATGGAAGCAGTCCTGAGTGGCTTATGTAACACACCGGTCCAGCCATTCTGCCGTGTGTTCTTTGATGATGTCCTGAATGCCAGCGAAACGCTGTCTGGCCAACTCCAGATTCTGCTGCCCGTGTTCGCGCGAGTTCGGTCCGCTGGACTGCGGTTCAATCTGAAGAAATGCTCCTTCTTCCAGGAGGAGGTCACTTTCTTAGGACACCGCGTGGCAGCGGAGGGCATCTCCCCGAATGAAGCCAAACTCGTCGCGGTCAGGAACTGGAAGACTCCGAAATCTGTCACAGCTGTCCGCGAGTTCCTTGGCTTCGCTGGATATTATCGCCGCTTCATCCGTGGGTTCGCCCAGCGTGCTGCTCCGCTGACTGCTCTGACAGGCAAGAATGCTCGCTTTGCATGGTCGAAAGCTTGCGAAGCGGCGTTCCAGGCTCTGAAGCGTTCGCTTGCCAGTGCGCCGGTGATGGCGTACACCCAGTTTGAAGCTTCAGCAGGTGCATTCATTCTGGACACCGATGCGAGCAATGTGTCGATTGGTGCAGTCCTCAGCCAGATCCAGGATGGAACTGAGCGACCAATTGGGTACGGCAGTCGTGTACTGACGAAAGCTGAGCGCAACTACGATGCTAGCGATCGTGAGGCCCTTGCTCTGGTCTATTTTGCGGAGTATTTCAGGCACTACTTGTTGGCACGACCATTTGTTGCCAGGACGGACAATACTGCGTTGACTGCACTCCGGAACCTGAAGGAACCCCGCGGACGGAAAGCACGTTGGCTTGACTGTTTATCCGAATATGAATTCCGAGTCGTCCACCGTCCAGGTCGCCAACATCTGAATGCCGACGCTATGTCCCGCGTGGTGACCGATGTGCCGTCTCCTCCGCAGAGTCCGCCGCCGCTTGCCCGTGATGTTCCGTTGTCAGCTGCTGATGAAATGCCACTTGCTGCTGATGTTCCTCCGGCTGCTGAGATTGTTCCTCCGGCCGTTTTTGTTCGTCCTCCTGGTGCCTCTGCCGCTGGACCGTTGCCGGATTGTTTCAAGCCTCAGAGTCTTCTTGCTCCGTGTGCCGATCCTGCTCTGTCTGAGTGTTTCACCCGATATGATGCTGCCAGTGGCAAGTTTGTTCGTCCGCCTGAAGCCGTTTCCCGTCCTCCCGACTGTCAACCACCTGCCGTTACTGCTTCTTGTCCTGACCCGATTACGCTGTCCGATGATGATTTTCCGCCGCTACAGCCGCCGTCGTCTGCTCCGGTCCGTACTTCTTCTTCTGTTTCTCGTCGTTCTGGCCGTGTTCGCACTGCACCTGCTCGACTAGCTGACTATGTCCTGGACTGAGTTTATTATTTGGTTTGTTTTCTTTTGTTTGTTTCCTAGGTATTTCGTTCATTCCCGTGGACGTGAATTTTAGCTAGGGGGGCACAGTGTAATAGGTGTATGTATGCTACGACCTGAATACTCACTATTTGTATTTCCCGCTCGTTCCCCTTGGCAATGAGCACTCACATAGAAGAGCGCATGCTCCAGTTCTGTTCTAGTCTAGTCCGTCTTGAGTTGTCGTTGTCCTGTTCTCCTTCTGTTTACACCCTTATCGAATACTTCTATAAATTATCCAATCATATAAAACCCCTGTGTTCCGGTGTGAGGGGGCATCATTAGCCGGCAGCAGCTAACAACAGTACACAGCTTTTTGCATTCAAGCTTCGAGAGATCTAGAGGCGCGCGCGCGCGGCATGCAGCGCACGGACTTCGCCCGTCGCAAAAAATAATTACGGCCAGGTTCGGGCATCTTAGTTCTGTTGTATTCCATGATTCCTTTGTATTATAGTTTAAACTTCTTCTTGGATGACATAGCTGCACGTGCTACTTTTGAAAGGAATTGGGAAAGATTCCAATTTGCTCTGCAAATTCCTTTTGTGGAACAAATTGGAAGCTTTGCCAATAGTATCCAAGTATTCAATTCATGCATACGTATACGTACGTCATCAACACCAGTCTAGAAGAACAAAGCAAACACCGCCCGCCCCCCCCCCCCACACACACCACCCGAATGCACTAAACGTTTCACTCTTGCAGTGTGATGTTGGATGTCCTTCAATACTTTGCCCATTATTATAATTGCTGTTTTAGTAATTTCGCTCTATTCCCTGATGAGAAGGGAACGAAAATGTTTGGCTAAGAAAACATGTTCGATTTGTTCTCCTGGACTGGTGTGGACGATGTATGGATCCATGAATTTACTACTAACACTTCTTTCGTTTTACAGGTATTCAGCAGTTGCCCTTGCCCACGGCACCGGGCACTGTATCGCCTTCCCATTCCAGCCATTCACACATGTCATCGTCGGCAATGCGTACGGGCTCTCTGGCGCGCAACGAGTCCTTTCCAGTGGCTCCTAGTCGCGATGAACCAACGGCAATGCCGGCAAAGTTCATACCAGCTATGGGTGGGTGACTGTGTTTTTTTTAAATTTTATTATTTATTTATAAGATGACCACAAACCATCATGGTGCAAACGCCGGCAAAAATTTGCCTGCTCTGTTTGCCGTTTTTTTTATATAACTACAAACACAATACAATGCACTGTGACTCAACTGTGCATAGACTGTGGTACATGAAAAAAAAGAATGGTCTAGGCTAGGAGGCTGGTGCTTAGTTCTTCGGCGACTGACAGTACTGTATTTAATACTATTCTTTTGAATCTATGTTCAATGGAGTATGTCCAGGCTGCCTGAAGACGATCATCCAGCCAATTGAATCTTTTTTTTTGCAGGCCTGCTTAGTCTGTTCCAGAATTACACCGCACACGTATGACTGTATACTAGTGTGTTTCATAAGCATAGACCACTAGACTTTTTCGAATACACGTAGTTCAAATTTGGTGTGGGCTTTTTGAGAAATGTCTTCGGGATATTACTCACGTGGTTCCCCAAATGTTTCTCACATATTTCTAGGCGATTGAAGAACCCATAGCTTATTTCGGAATATTTAAGCACAAAGTGGTCGCAGATTTCATGGCGTACCTGGTTTTTGAAATCAGAGGTCTATACTTTTGAAGCCCACTATAGTTCCCATCCTGTTTGCCTTCTCTCTGGCGAAAAATGGTCTACGCGTTGCCTGACATGGAAGGCACGCCGATAGCGTGCCTAATCAATCACGTGATGGGTTTGATTTTTGTGTGAACTACAGAGTCTGATGATGAGTTTGAGGGTCTCTACACAACAGTTGCTCCGGACGAGCCAGAAGGGAGGGGTGAGTTTTCACTGTGCCCACAAGTCGGTTATCATCCTGTAGAATATGTTTGACAACGTAGGAGGCGCTGTGCGAGGATGCATTTGGAAACACAGTGATACCTGCCAAGGAGACCACTTGTCCAAGAGGACCCTGCAACTAGGACTAACGAGTGTCATTTCCAGTCAAATAAGGAGGCCACCCGTCACGGAGACCACACTTCTATGGTCCCGTGAGAGGTCAGCTTAGACAAGTTTCAGTGTCACTAGTTTATGTTTTTCTAGTTAAAACACACTTGTATAGTCATTCTAATGAAATGTGCAAGGATAGGCTATGCACTCGCTGGGTCTATATTTATTTATTTATTTATTTATTTATTTATTTTATTTTTTACAATGATCACATGCAGCTCACGGGCAAAGACAAAAAAATGCATAGTGGGAGCATAGTGATGTCTTGTGTTGTTGCTTCGCAGAAGTGCAAATCACGGGCCAGGATCTGGAAATGAACAGTGACGAAGATTATGACGTCGTTCAGGAACCGGCCGCTCCCGGTGTGAGGTCGCCGCCATCTCATGCTACCACCGCTGCTTTGGGTGCAGACCGATCAAGTCGACCTGTGCAACTGAAAAACCCTCCTGTCGGTTGGAAGGCAGCAGCTCCGGCACCAGCGCGCACTCCGATATCCCCACCACCTGGGCCAGCAGCTGCCCTTGCCGCTGCCACTGCTGCTGTGGCACAGAAGAGCAAGAAGGGAACACCGCCTCCGCCTGTGGCACCACCACCGGCCCCAGAAGAAGAAGAAGAAGAAGGTTCGTCCTTGTGTGCGTGTGTGTGTATGTGTGCTTGTGTGTGTGTTGTGTGTGTGTGTGGGTGTTTGTGCGTGTGTGCGTGTGTTTGTGTGTGTGTGCGTGTGAGTGTGTGTATATATATGTGTATGTGTGTGTGTGTGTGTGTATGTGTGTGTGTGTGTGTGTGTGTGTGTATGTGTGTGTGTGAGTGAGTGTGTGTATGTGTGTGTGGGTGTGAGTGAGTGTGTGTGTGTGAGTGTGTGTGTGTGTGTGTGTGTTTGTCTGTGCACACGTGTGCATGTGTTTGTACCGAGGGATAAATACTATGTTCATTCTTCATGTCTTTTTGGTTGGTGTGTTTGCGCCCCGGCATGCGGACACCCACAACTATTTTTTTTCTGGTGTGTGACAAATACATGCAGTCAACTTCGGTATACATATAATGAGACTTCGGGTATAAGGACACTTCGCGAATAAGAACGCTTTCCTGATGCCCTAACGAGTGTCGTTATACGCAAAGTTGACGGTAGATAGGTGGCAGTAGATATAGGGTGAGAGAGATGGGGGAGCAGGCAGAACGACAAGCACAAATCACCTACATTGTGAGTAAACACTCAACAGCAGATTGGCAAAGCATGTCAGAGAAACCGGGTTCCACTGCAACACAATTTACCAATTTACTCCTTGAAGTCATAACATTCCAAACGTTCTTTGCTGTCTCGATGCAAACACCCAGACAAAGGCTATCCGACAAACAGATGGGACTGCCGGCAATGAATGACTGTATATGGCTGTGTTTACATGAGAAATTTCAACCCGGGTCGAGTTCATTCCGGGTTGAAAGTCTGTATGATAGACAAAAATTAATAGGTGAGCGTTTACATGAAGACAGTTGACCCGGATCAAATACTGATATGCCGCCAAAAGTCAACTTCTAGAGTCCTGTATGGTCACGTGAATCTGTTCGCGCGAAATTTGCCTGTGCAGTGCTGTTCAAACCTGGCGCGAGATACGCACAGAAGTACGTTTGTACGATTTTCTTGGCCCGGGTTGATTTCAACCCTCCACTTGGGGGGAGGGTTGAAATTAACCCGGGGCGAAATTTCAACCCGGGTCAAGCGCAATGCGTCATGTAAACGCGCCATTCATTTTGTGTACATGGCGGGTTGAAATCTGACCAAGGTCGAACTCAACCCGGGTTGAAACGCCTCATGTAAACACAGCCTTAGTGAGAATGGTAGACTGCTAGAAAGTGTGTTTGTTCACTGGAAACCGCACGTTTCAGCCTTCTCCTGATGTTCTTCCCCTGGAATATTTCCATGTCCAGAAATTCCGGAACAGGACAAAAACTTCTACCAAGTGCTATATCAAGGCGACATCACCAAGGCTTACAGTCCGGATCGGTCCGTGGAGATGATGGACTATATCGCAATCAAGGTACGTGACCTGGTCAGATTTAATCGCAATTTGTGCACAGAGTTCCGTTGTCCCAACACAGCGCTCGATGCTACAACGAGCATAGCTTCCTCACTGTTTACTTGTGTATGATTATGATACTAAGAAGGTGGTGGACATCACGCAACTGCATCATAAAGAAAAAGGGGGGGGGGGTGTAAACTAACAACCGGTCTGTTCATTTGCTATTCAGAATCGCCGCATGCGCTGGATGAGAAATATGTAAATTTTCTATTGTGATGTCGAAACAATTATCACGTTTTGGGACAGTCACCCATCGTCAGAACATAATGATTATGATAGGAGAGT